ATTCTTAAAGATATCGTCATAATTTCGACTGCAGAGAAGTACCGTTCTTGACTACGAAACGTACAAGCCTTGGTTTCATATTAAAAAGACCACCATTCGCCTTAAAGAAAAGAAAATGCAAAGGAAGTGCAACAACTACAGCATTTTGGCGGACATCTATTCTGTTAAAGTATTTATTTAACGCTGCAATAACAGTTTCACACTTTCTATAATAAATTTCTTTTATTTTACGCACAGTTCATGCCTCGTGTTGAATCTTAAGTCAACCATCAAATGGGCCATGGCACATTGCTGTCGTAAAATGCATAGTCCCGCGTGCTGTGGCATTACATTACTTCAGAATGCTGTCCTTACACAATCTGCAGATAAATGATTTGCCACCCGTTTCTTCGTAGGCTGCGCTGAAGCACAGTGGAGCGTCTTCTTTACTGAAGAGAACTAACACCTGACGAGAAATTTTTATAACGCGCAGGGATTCAAACTCGACACTTAAAAGTACAAAGTCAAACTGCAAACAAATGTATCACTGTCAATCACCAAAATCTCTACTTTCAAACTAACTGTAAATGTAAAACGATTGACTGCCCTCTTCCAGTTCAACCGTTCTCTTGCATATTTTCATCATTATACTTATATACCATTCGCTGTTAATAATTTTTACTGTGTCGTCATCAATATTATTGCCTGACAGCAATCTTGATGACGGGTTTCTATGCCGGAAGTTGAAAAACAGGAATAAGCAAACGATAATATGGCAATTCCAGCCACTGCATTGTTGAAAAGGGTTACAGTTTAAGGGTCGTTATATGTCCAATGCATAAATTATAATTCCGAACTATGCTGCCATTGGCCAGAAGACTTGACAAAATGAAACTATTTGTGTGTCACTTCTGCTACGCTGATGCTGTTTCTGTTTAACTCTTTCGCTGCCATTACGATTAAGGATGACTTGGCTTGTGCAGTCGCATGTTTAATTCGCACTCATTTAATGTAGTTGAAGTGAATAAAAGACGAGTGACCCCAGCCCGACTAATGCACAGATTCGAACAGGCGACCTTTCGTCTGCCGGTATGGCGATGATTTACAGACGTAACTCAGCTATCAGACGATGTGTGTCACCGGTTCTACTGGCTGGCAGACAACGAACGCTCTTTAATTGCTGGCGAACGAAAAGAGCACGTCGTCGAAAAGCGGTTAAGCTCGGCTTGCCTGGCAACGGGTCAGAAACAACCAAACGAAACCCCTGGACGGACGCGAGGCATCGCCGTTGACCCGTCGCACAGAGGTCAAGTACGCACAGCAATAATACAGTCCGGTGGATGGGAGGGAACGGCGATACTCGGTGACTTTCGTGGGACGGTCGCCTGATTTTGGGATACAGGTTACAAGTGCGCGTTCCTATATGCAGCGACGACCGCATACTTACCAACGGCAAGGCGTATGCGTAAACAGAATGTGGACAAGAACAACTTTTGTCCGGCTACTATCACAATACAGCAAACTGGCGACGCGCCTGTCGTTGTCACTGCCGCAATACCCCTCTCAAAAGCTCTCGACTAGCTCGAAGGCAACTGCTTTAAAGGTGGAAGTCAGTAACGACAAACGGCCTTATGGACAACAGACCAAAACCATTACCTACAAAGCACTACCGTCGACCTGTCATACTGACGTTTTCTAGTGCTCTCTGATCATTACCCAATTGAAAGTAATGGACGACAAGTTTTGAAAGAGAACAAAGCAACTTGTGTACAAAAAAATACTCGACTCGTTGTCAAGTACGTGCACCGACATTACACTGTAACAGCTATAGCAGGGACGTTCTACGCTCGGAATAGCATGTTTTGTAGGTCGCGCGCTGTGGACACATCCAATCCGCCGTCAGCAACCTCATGACCTCTTCGGCGCGATGCTGCATTCCGTTCGCATCGACGAAGTGTCGCCGAGCCGCAGTACCGAATACCAAACCTGTTTATGTCGAACCGAATCGAGTCGAATCGCGCAAAATAACGAAGATCATTCACCAGCGCAACAGGGTGTAAACTTATGGCGTGAGCTGTCGTCAAAACTTTCGTTTTCGCATGAAATAAATTCCGTCGTCGTGAAATAACTGTATGCCGACTCAAGAAAAAATGCGCGTCGAAATGCAGCATTTGCCGAAGCAATCAGATTCACAGGAATAAACTGAAGGCCCAACCGTGAAGTTTATTCCGATGAAACTATCTACATGCTGTCGAGTGCCAATTGACAGCTCCATATTAATCACAAGCAAAGTAGCTAATCCATAATGTTCGCGAGCTCACAGCGCACCGTCCATATATGATATTCTACGATTAAACAAACACCGCGATCGGCGCACTTTACGATGCACTGCAACTTTTGTGGATGACTCGTCAAAACCAACTGTAAATCACATAGGTACATCCATGCCAAATTCGGCGGTAGAAGTAGAGTTCAATTAGGCGAAGATCTTAATCTGGCAATACCGCGAAAACAACATGCCAATTCGCCTAAGCTTGGTTTGAGACATACCGCAGTCAGTTCGGCAAGGAAACAGATCTAACGTGAAACCACGTTAATTACAATTGGGTGACAACTTCCCAGACACTCCTATGAATATCAGCCGAAATCAGCTGAATTTAATTAATTAACTGTGCAATATTTCCTTAGTTCTTCGAAACAACTTCAATAAAGAATATCCTGTGTCAGTGATATTACTTGAATTCCTTATACGGGTAGAGAGTTCCTGATCGCCGTAATCTTCAAAGCGTTTACTCCGCAAGTAAATTTTTTTTAATCGAAATCCCGACAGTTCAATCTACTGCACTTGATTTATGTCCCCCTTGAAGATGAATCCAGTTCGATCCAAAGCGTCGGGATTTTGTTATGCGGTGCAAGCCCTTCGTAGATTCTGGAGATCAACTTTCGTTAAACTATACTGATAGACTGAATATTTGTTAAAAACAAGCAACAGTTTAGGGCCTCGACTTAGATGAAATCTTCTGAGATGTTATATCGACTGTTCGTACAGGACCGTTGGCCAGCGTTTATCGTTCTCTCCCATCTTATTATTCCAAACAACATATACATTATATCAAACAACATAAAACATTATCTACTTTCTTCACTGCTTTTTCTTCGAAATGGCATCCAAAACTTCTGCGAGGGTGAAATGGAAACTCGAAATAACGACGTGGCTAGTTTAAACAATATAGGTGCATGCCAACAAGATGACACAGAACA